AACCCAACCACCTACAGCCAAATGATCTTCGACAAAATGCCGAAGCACACTGCATGAGAAAGAGACAATATCTGTAACAAATGGTGCTGATAGAACTGTAAAGTGATATATAAAAGACTGAAAAAAGACCTTTGCCTCAAGCCCTATACAAAAATGAACTCAACATGGACTAAAGATCTAAATGTGAGTCCCAAAATTATGAAGATCATCAATGAAAAAATAGGGACAAACGTGAGGGCACTAATCCAGGGCATATACAGACTGCCACACATTTTGAAAAGTACACAAACAAAAACAGACAAAATAGACGAGTGGGACATACTAAAAATTAAAAACTTGTGTTCATCAAAAGACTTCACCAGGAGAGTAAAAAGGGAACCCACAGACTGGGAAAAAATCTTTTGCAACAACATATCGGATAAGGGACTCATCTCTGAAACATATAGGAAAATACTACACACATCTACAAAAATAAGACAAATAACCCAATTAAGAAATGGGCACAGGATATGAACAGACACTTCACCAGGGAGGAGATCCGGGCAGCCAACAAATATATGAAGAAATGTTCACGATCACTAGAGATGCAAATCAAAACAACAATGAGATATCATCTCACACCAGCAATAACAACTAAGATCATAAAAGTTGAGGACAACAAATGCTGGCGGAGATGTGGAGAGACTGGGACACTCCTGCATTACTGATGGAAATGCAAAATGGTCCAACCTCTCTGGAAAGCAATATGGCACTTCCTCAGAAGGCTGAAAATAGAAATACCATTCCTTCCAGCAATTCCTCTACTTGGTATTTACCCACAAGAAAAACGAGCCACAACACGGGAAGATATATGTACATCAATGTTCACAGCTGCACTATTTACAATAGCAAAAAGATGAGACAGCCAAAGTACCCATTGACTGGAGAATGGATAAACAAGCTGTGGTACATACACACAATGGAGTACTATGCTACCTTGAAAAATAACAAGGAAGCTGGCATAACACTTCCTAACATGGATGAACCTTAAAGACATTATGTTAGTCAATCACAAAAGGAAAAATACTGCATAGGACCAGTACTGTAAAAGACTAAGAAAAAGAACCCATACTATTTCACTAAAGTGGATTCTTAGCAGGTTGCTAGGAGGTAGGGGTAGGATTAAGGGCAGGAGGGGAAGGTGGAGCACAGGGCAGGGAATAGACACAGGATAGTTTGGGAGTTGGGGAGGGGGGGAATATACAAGTAGGGAGAGGGGAATGGAAGAACAAAGCAGACGGGAGAACAATTAGACAGGTATGAATGAGCTAAATGGGACAGAGGTAAAAATGGATGTAGGCACAGCCTTGGAACAACAGGGCTCTGGGATCTAGAGACTGGGACAGGGTTGGAATGGGGAAAAGGGGGGAATAATGTTGAGATGCTTGGCTGACTTTTGAACCTTGGTTTTCCATGCATTATATTATAAAACAGACACTGGCGGGAGAGAGAAAGGAATAGCCAGAAATATCACCATAGAAAGCTTGTAAATCCATCTTCTGCCTATAACTGATTGGAATACCTAAAATGGGGCTACAATGTGTCCAGTGAAGGAGGTTTCCTGAGGAGCCTCTGCATTACATAAGACTA